TGACCCTGTGAGAATTGGTAAGATCTGATTTGTTTTGATTTTATGAGAGAAACATGGATAAAAAGTGGGAACCTTGCTCAGAAGCCAAGCTGAGTTTTGCAGGATCTGGTAGGAAGCCTATGTTGTTTATTTGTATCACTCCGTAGCATTTGTTTTGTACAGTTCTTATATTTTTGCCATAACAATACATCACAGTGGAAATGTAAGTGAAAAACAAGCCACAGAATACTTGATTGTGAAGTAAAGAAAACATCAGTAAATATATCTAGCAGTGGAAAACGGTCTTAAAAAAAAAAAAAAAAAAAAAAAAAAAAGCCTGAAAAGCATGAATGTGTACCAATGAACTTGTCCAGATGACATGCACCTCTGAGAATAAGGTAATTCATTACAGAATGTAATGGCTCAGTGACATTTGTTTATGGAAGTTCATGAAAATCTGAGAGAAAGCCAGAGAGTAAATGGGACACAGATTTTCAGAGAAAAAAAAAAAAAGAAAAAAAAAAGAAGAAAAAAAAGAATCACAGGCAATTACAATCCACTGAACCTAACTTTAATCCACAGTAAAATAATGAAACCATTATTAAGGTTCTGCAACTACGTGGGGATTAAAGGAATAACAAGCAGTAAGCTGCTGGGCTGGGGCACCCCACATGGTCTTTGCTGCTTCTGCATGACAGTGAACTTTGTGGCTGGTAGAACCTGCCACCCCAGCTACCCCAGGTAGGAGCAAAGCCTGTCTTATGAAATAAGAGCTGGCTCTTGCATTTAATTCAAATTGCCTTGGATATTTATGCTGTCTGGCTATGGGTTTTTATTCACTATCAGCGTTCCCACACCAGCGTTGTTTCTGTGATGCACTACAGTGACAAATCCTCTGTTCTGTGTCCTTATTCATGATCTTTCATGGGGAAGGGTAAAAGGATCATTTATTGTATTTGCCAAGAATATTGCACAAATACTTTACAAACCTTCTGGAAGAAGAAAACAGATTAAGGACCCAAAATATTGGAGGAGCTCATTCAAATAATGCATCTGGAAAGCATAGATTGGGATGGGGATTTCTGTTTCATGAGAGAAGGAATTCTGGAAACCTCAAAGGCTGTGATTTGGATCTGTCACAGGTTTCCTGATTTTGAAGACTGAAAGTCCATCTTTCCATGCAAACAAAATGCCCAATAAGCCAGGCTGATGGATAAGGAAAAGGAATGGAGTATGTTAAGAGAATCTTATGAATTGATAGGGCAGTGAAATAAATCAGTGCAGGTTGGGGTTGCCAGTGCAAGTATGTTGTGTCCTTCAGTAGCAAAGACTAACTTCATGTCATCACACCCGAGGGTCGGCACTGAACTCTGATACCTTACTGCTTGTCCTTACAAAGCATAAATTGAGGGAATTGTTACTCAAAGAAGAAAAGGTATCAACTGCTTGGAGCGAGTGATACACAAAGAGAAATTGGGTAGCTTAAATAGATAGCTTATCTAATCAATAGTCAAGCAAAGAAGGGATAATTGTTTAAAAACTTGTGAGAGAAGGGTAAGCATTTGGGATGATGCATGGTCCCAATTCAGCACAGTACTTAAACACATGTGCATATCCATCAGGGCTGCAAAACACTGACATGTGTAATTTCAATGGAGCTTAAGCACATACCTAAATTTAAGCACGCATTGAAGTACTTTGATTAATTGGGGCCATAACCACAAGTAATGGGATGAAATTAAGAAACGGAAAATGTAGGCTGAACAGCAGGAAAATCTTCCAAATGATGAGATATGTGAGAGTGGAGAGAAATCACTTAGGGGAATGGGAAGAAACCTCATCCCTGAACACCTTTCAGTTTTCACTGGACGAAGTGCTGGGAAAATGTCCTTCAGGGAATCAGCTCACAGCTGCCACTGGAGACTACAACTGCACAACCCAAAAGAACTTCTCTGTCTCTGAAATTTTCTGGCTTGAGTGCAAGATTAAGCCCAAATCATGATTTTAATGAGAACAGTAGCATTGTCTTTCCCCAAAATATTGTTCCCCACAGTTTTTTTTCTTTTCTCTTTTTTTATTTTTTATTTTTATGTATTTATTTTAGTCTATTTTTTATTTTTATGTATTTATTTATTTGTTTGTTTGTTTGTTTGTAGGTAACTTTTTACTCAGAGGGGAGTGAGACTTGGCACTGCTGCCCAGAGCAAGTGTGGATGCCCCAACCCTGGAGGCACTCATGACCAGCAGGATGGGACCCTGCAGAGCCTGAGCTGGTGAGAGGCAACCAGATCACAGCAGGGGGTTGGGCTTTGAGGTCCCTTCCAGCCCAAACATTTATGTGGTTCTACAAGAGAGAAAAATAAAATCCCACTGCAAGGCTAGTGGTTCTTCATCTTTTTCCACTTGCATACTAAACATTGATTTCATTCTCACCTCTGCATTAAAACAGAGCTTAAAGATATGTAGCAGATCTCATTGCAGCTTGTATGGCTTTGTTTCACTCCTGGAGCAGATGTGGTGAATGTCGTTGGAGAGATAATCACATTTCAGAGAGTCTCACATCTCAGAGTATCCTGGTAGAGGCAGGAAAAAGGACTTTGAGTTTCTTTTTCTTTTTTACTTTTTTTTTTTTTCTCATGTGGTCCCTGGAATAAGGGCTGTTGGAGGAGGAGTTTGCTGAAGATGGAGAGATGGATGCCCTAAGGCTCCCACTCAAGGAGAGAACAATTTTGGTAAGCCAAATGCAAGGCCAAAACACAATGGCTTTTTAATTGGTTTAAAACCCAGTTTTACATAAGGTAAACATTTGCAGAAGGCTGCGTGCTGTTTGCTTGGACTTTTGGGGATAATTCTGCAGCCTGGTGGGAGAGGCCAGGTGTTCTGTAGCGTGACTTCACAGAGGTCTGCTGGAAGCAGAAACTCTTGGGACAGATCTGTTATAACGTATAGATGTTTTGTTTTCTTTTTTTGTATGTATGTTTTCTGTGTGTGTGTGTGGTTTGTTGTTTTTTTTTCCCCTAGTTTCACCGCAGCTGACTTTTTTTTTTTTTTTTTTTTTTTCCCAAGTGTCAGCGAGATGAGTCTCAATGTTATCACTGGCAAAACATATTGTTGATGTTCTCTCCAAATTGGAAAGATGTGGATTTGGTGGGTGAACTGTTTGATGGACAAGGAACTGGTTGTGAGATCGTACCCAGAGAGAGGTGGTCAGTGGCTGAATATGTGGATGGAGACCAGTGACGAGTGGTGTCCCTCAAAGGTCAGTCATGGGACTTACAATACTTCAATATTTTCATCAAAGACATCAACAGTGAGTATATCCTTAGTATATCACAGTATATCCTGTGTGGTGCAATTGATATGCCTGGGGGACAAGGTGCCATCCAGAGAGACCTGGACAAGCTTGAGAAGCGGGCCCAGGAAAATCTCATGAAGATTAACAAATCCAAGTCTTGCATCTGGGTTGTGGCAACCTTTGTGAGCAGTAAAAGATGGGGGATGAAAGGAGGAGAACAGTCCTAGTAAGAAAGACCTGGAGGACTGCTGGATGGCAAGCTAGACATGAGCCAGTAGTGTGCCCTTGCAGTTCAGAAAGCCAACTGTATCCTGGGTTGCATCTAAAGAAGTGTGGTCAGTGCAGAGAGGGAGGTGATCCTGCCCGTCCACTCTGCACTGGTGAGGACTCACCTGGAGAGCTGCATCTACATGTGGAGCCCTCAGTACAGGAGAAACGTAGACCTGTTGGAGCACATCCAAAGGAGGACCCGAGGGATGAAACACCTCCACTGTGGGGACAGGCTGAGAGAGCTGGGGCTGTTCAGCATGGAGAAAAGACAGCCCTGGGGAGACCTGATAGTGGCCTTCCAGTGTCTACAAGGGGGCTGTAAGAAGAAAGGGGACAGACTATTTAGCTGTAAGAAGAAAGGGGACAGACAGAGTCCATTTTGTTAGGACAAGGCGAAATGGTTTCAGACTAAAAGGGGAGATTTAGATTGGATATAAGGAAGAAGTTTTTTTACTATGTGGTTGCCCAGAGAGGTAGTGGATGCCCTGTCCTTGGTGATATTCAAGGCTGGGTTGGACGGGGCTCTGGGCACCCTGTTGTAGCTGTAGGTGTTGCTATTCATTGGAGTGGAGTTAGACCAGATGACCTTTAAGAATCCTTTCTAAGTCAAATGATTCTGTGATTTTATTCAACACATCAGTGCCTCCAAAATAGCAGTTCTTAACATAAAATGCACATTTCCATGCCTAAAGAGTAGTTTAAGTTGGAAAAGATCTTCAAGTCCAACCATCAACCTGACCTAGAGATACAGGTAGGGATGTGTGAAGGCATTCTTCTGATCTATGGTCTATGTTTACAAATGAGATTGATGCCTTCATCCCAGTCAAGAGGATCCTGCAAGACTGTAGAATCTGCCATTGGAGATTCTTAGGAGCTTGTTGAAGAACCTGATCTTCAGTGAGTTGTGGGAGGGGACTCTGAGCCCAGCAGACTGTCTGCGATTGGCTGCTGAGCTGGAGATCACCAGCAGAGCAGCCAATCTAGAGATGAGGAATCCAGCTAGAAATGCTCTGCTCCTGATCCTTCAATGGGGAGGTGAGAAATCCAGCAGGTTCTGTGCTGGATTGCATGGTTATGATTGGTCGCTTTGCTGGCTACAATGGGCAGAGCATCCTATGGGAAGCTGGAGAATCCAGCAGGGGATTCCTGGTTCGGTGGGCTGCCTGCCATTGGCCGCTGGGCTGGGAGCAGCGGGCCAATGGGGAGCTGGGGGATCCTCTCGGCGGGGGTCGGGGAGCCGCGATCGTGAGGGGTGCAGGTGGGCACCGGAAAAAGGGGAAAGGAAAAAGGAAGGGGCCGGGGTCGGCGCGGCGCGGCGCCGGCTGCTAGGTGGAGCCCGCGTCCACGCAACCCAGATCCGGGCCCTCGGCGCTCCCCCGCCCCTCGGCTCGCCGCCCGCCCGGCTCCGTGCGGCCGCCGCCGGGCAGGGCAGCAGCGCCGCGCCGCCTGCCGCTGCCGGGCCGCCCCTTCCCCGTGTGTGAGCCGTGCCGTGCCGTTCTGCCGGCGGCCGTGGGCTCCCCCCGCGCCCGCCCAGCCCAGCCGAGCCGGGGCTGACGGTGTCCGCAACGGGAGGAGGAAGAGGAGGAGGAAGGCTCCGGGGGGCTCCGGGCAGCTGAGGGCCGGCCGCCCCCCTGCGCGCGGGAGCCTTTGTGTCCCCCAGCCCCGGCGGAGTGCGGGGCCGGGGGCAGGGAGCGGATGCGGAGAGCGGCTGGTGCTGCTGGAGGAGGAAGAGAAAAGGGGGATGGTGGAAGATTGCTCTTCTTTTTTTTTTTTTTTTTTTTTTTTTTCCCCCTTCTTTTTTTTGGTGGTCTCTTCGGCAGCGGCTCCTCGTCCCCGGCGGCGGCAGCAGCAGCAGCAGCAAGGCGGGCGATGACCGTGCCGCATCCGGATCGCCCGGGCGGAGGTGCGGGCTCCGCGGCCACCCCCCGGCCCTGAGGCTGCCCACCTGGAGGAGGTAGAGCCGCGGGGCTGCGGCCGGGGGCTGGCGGCGGGAAGAGGGGGAAAGACCGCCTCCCCATCCCCACACACCCTCCGGGATCCAGTGTGAGCTGCGGGAGGAGAAGGCAGCGGAGGAGAGACTTTTTCTTCTTCCTTTCCCCTCATACCCCCCTTTTAATTTTTTTTTTTTAATTTTATTTTTATTTTTAACATTTTTCTTTCCTTGGGCGACGATCCCTGCTCCTCGTGTGCCTCCTGGTACCGTGGCCAGCTCTGCTTTTCATGACTGGATTGTGGCAGCAGCAGCAGCAGCTCCCCGCTGCAGGTTGTTGAGGAACCGATGGGGATTGGCATCTCGGCAACCGGAGGTGACTAAAGGTAACGGAGCACCCTCCATCCGAGCGCCCTCCATCCGCCGAGTGCCTCACGGATCGGTGCCGGCCCTGCATCCAACCCGCGCCGGGCTGAGGGCTGCCCGCTGCCATCGGATCCCATTGGTTCCTATGGAGGGTGGTGGTCCTCGGGGGAGGGAGGCTGCGTCCTGCAGGTAACGGGGGTTGCGTGCTGGGGATGAAGGGGATGGACGGCTGCAAGGAGATGGAAGAGCCCTGGTAGGTTTTGTGTCTGCTCTTCCTTCCCTATGGAAGGAATATGTGGCTTTGCTGCTGTTACCCATAGAAATCCCCGAGTTTCCCTCACTGCTCCATGCCTATACCCCTCAGAGAATGGATGTTCCTATTGCATTGCTGGAGGGGTGCGTGGAGAAGCCGCCGCATTCCTGGATGGCAGCAGGAGGACGGGGCTGTGGTTGGGATGATGCTGGACCGGGGTGCGTCAGGGGCTGCGTGTGCCTGGCTGTGGTGTGGGCAGGGGTGTGCAGCCCTGTCCCTGCAGGCAAAGGGAAACACGCAGCCCAGGTTGGTGCCTGTCTGGGGTGTTTGGTGTTTGCTGGCTGTCTGCAGGGCTGTGTTCAGCAGGGACATTTTTTGAACGAGAGGGGCCAGTATGTATGGGTGGAGGAAGAAAATGGTAAAAATTGCATTCCCCTTATTCTCCCTCTCCTTTCTTTTCTTTCTTTTCTTTTTTTTTAAGCTCTTTTATTTGCTTGCTAGATTATTTACTTTCCCTTTGCAACCGTGTTTTGACTATTTAACTTGGAAAGATGCTTGTGAGAGTGGTGGTAGCTGCCTGTCTCGAATAAGGGAGCACTTCTTTGCCTTCTCAGTGTAGGAAGCCCAGATTTAACCAGTGCCTTATAGCTGGTGGGTGGCTGTGGTGCCCAGAAATGAGTTGTTGGTTGGACTACATGATCTTAGCGGTCTTTTCCAACCTTAATGATTCAATGAAATGCTCCCTGGGCACCTCTACTTTGGGGTCTGTGTCTCCTCAGTGCCCAGGGCTGTCCACAGCAGCATTCCTTTGGTTTTTTATCCTGTGATGTGCAGCTGCTTGGTTTTGTGTTGGTTTTTTTTGTTTTTTTTTTTTTTTTTTTTTTTTTTTCCAGGATAGATTGTGAAGTAGGAAAGGAGCATCTTTCCCTATCCTGATCAGCATGCTGTTCTTCTCTGCTGTAGTTAAAACAACTCATACATGGCCAAAAGAAATGTATTGTTGCGTGCTCGTCACTGTAGCATTCCCAGCTTTGGCCACGACAACTGAGTCTGTTGTATTTACACTCCTGTTTGGATTACCCATGAGGAGGTATTAGCGTTTCCCCTCTCCCAGCCCTAGCTGCTTAGAAGGAGGCTGAGGTACAAACATAAATGGCTGAGAATGCCCTCTGTGCTTTGCTATGGGGCAGAAAGAGAGCCCGCAAGTCACTGTTCCTTTTTGATACTGTGGCATTGGTTATTCCAGGGTGCTGGATGGAGAATCTCAAAGCCAACAGAAAAAAATCTTCTCTGGAGTTGAAATGAATGCATTTCTTTTTGTTATGGAATGCTGTCTCAGAGTGCAGCCAGTGCTGCTTGCCTGGTATTGAGTAGCAGCGTGTGCCTCGTCGAGCTCATTTATCATAATTTCCAGGGGCTTGCGATATGAACAGGCTTCTACTGTGTATTCATTAGGAAAAATCCTTCCACCGAGTTTTACGGGGCAAGCCAGGTGCTGCAGGTTAAAGAGGCTGGTGTCGGCGAGCCTGCAGCCGTTGCTTCAGGAGAGCAGAGCAGGAAGGGCGCAGAGCCGCCTGCCTGTGCCGCTGCTGGGTGACAAAGTTTAGAGAGGGGCTGGGAGCTTTTCTGAAGGTGAAATGGCTGTGCTCTGGTTGCAGGAGGGACACAATCCCCTTGTTGTGGTTGGGGCTGCTTAGCAGAGCTTTTTCCATGCTGAGCGTGGTTTACTACAAAGTAGCCGTTGTGTTGTTACCTGCTGGCAGCAATGAGGCTGGCATGGATCTCCGTGTGCCAGAATGACTGGAGTTCATAAAGCTAGAGCTAGCACATGAGTTTTGTGTGATTCCATTATTTGTCTCCATTGGTGGCTGCATCACTCCCGTCCTGTGCTGGCTGCAGGTCTGAAGGAGCTCATTCTGACGTGGCTGCTCCCACAGCACAACATGAACCCAGTGCCCTTCGCTGGCCCTGCGGGGAAGGCAGGCGGGCTCAGAGGAGGAGGTGCTTGCACGGTGCTGGCTGGGTGTCTGTGCCGCCCAGTGGAAGGTGCAAAGTGGTGTGGACTGGATTACTGGAGAGCAGCATGCCCGACCTTTCGCCTCGTCAGCTGGGGAGTGCGGTGCCGCCGGGAGGGCTTTCACATTCAGAGCATGAGCGCATGCATCATCAATGCCAGTAAATGAGATGCACACGGGAGAGGGAAGGCTTTGTAAATGGAGCAGTCCTGGGAGCTGCTGATTTATTATTGCAAATTTTGATACTAATAGCGTTGAGACTGGTGTAGATTGGCTGGGAAACTGTTTATTGTGTGGCACGGCTTAAAGGATGGGCTAGAGACTGATGAAAGATGTGGAATTTGGCAAGGAAGAATGGATCAGGGAAAAGCTATGATATGAAGGCTGGGCACAAGGCAAAAAAGTAAATAAGGGAAGAGAACTTATTTCATTGTCTTACTAGTTGGTTGTAGAAACAGCTCAGTACTCTGATGGGAGTGATTTTAACAGAACTTTGTATTCTTTGGAACATTCCTGCTCATCACAATAGAGCACTGGAAATGCAGCACCCAAATTCTCACATTGGAGGTGGTGCTGATACTGTGCTGAGACTAGGGAATGCTGAGACAACAGGATGGCCCTGCAGAGCAAACTCGTGTTGTCTGGCCACTTCTGATAGGAGGCTGCTTGTCAGGTGGGATATACCCAGTGAGCATGGAAGCTCTGAAGAGGTCTTACCATGGATTCCCAGCTCTTCCTTGCCAGCTCCTCTTTCTTTCAACAGATGCACTCCCATTGGGATGCAGTGTAATGCTTTCTTTATTCTTCCCACTAGATATATATCGACAGTGCACTGTTCCTTGTGAATAGGTATTCTTCTATGGAGCAGTGAAGTAGGATGCAGACTGTGGTGTCTGCAGAAGACACCTATGGGATGGAAATGGCTGAGACAAACTGATTGGTAAAAACAATGAGCACAGTGTTTAGGCTGTATGTTTTCTTTCAGTGGCCTTTTTAGAGAGACTTCTGGTTTTGGCTGTGAGTCAAACATGTTTAGTTATAGACTCATGGAATGACTTGGGTTGAAAGGAAACTTAGAGCCCAACCAGTTCCTGTCCCTGCCCATAGGGATTTACCATCTAACCTGACCTCGAGCACCTCCAGGGAGAGGGCATCCACAGCTTCTCCATTGTGTTTATCAGTCACTGCACCGTGCATCCGTGGCTGTATCAAGGAAAACAGACTCTTCAGGCAATAAAAATTTCATTTCAGTGGTACTGTGGACCATCTTTGGAATTTTTTGTACTGTTTTGAATAGATTGGTTCATAGCTCTGCTACTATTAATTGGAAAAGCTTACTGAGTTGATTGCAGTTGGATCCTTACCTGGTATAAATCAATTCAAGTCATTGATTGCACTTCTCAGTGAAGCTATGCATTTCTTAAACTTATGATGAAACATCATAAATACAAAAGATCAGCATGAATGTTCTCTTACTACAGTGCAAAGCTAAAATGAGGTGAAGATAGATGTGCATGCTTTTGCAGAAGTAGTCCTTAAAATGTGATCAATGCATGGTCCTACTGTGATGTCCTATGCAAAGGTGCTCATGTTTGCTGTCTCTCTTCTGGTTTGAACCTAACACCTTCAGCTAACACTTCAGAAATACTGTAAGTGACATAAACCAAGGATGAGTAGTCTGCTTGTAATGCTCATCAGATACAAGTCCCTTCTCTATTAACACTTTTAACCTTTCCCATTCCACAGAAATAAAGTGTCTGGTTACTGACATAAGGAACCTCAGTGAATGGACACAGTTTCCAATGAGAGAAATATAGGTAGAAATATTCTATTTCAGTCCTAGTGCATTCACTTCTCTTATGGGCACACACAACCAAGCACAGTTATTTTGGGGGGGGAGCAAACAGAGATCTGCTTTGTTTGGGGGGGGGGTATGCTGAGCAACCATTAATTTAATCAGGTTTGAGGCTGATCATTGCTATTTGCTGTAGCAGCCTGTTTCCAATTTGATGTTGCTGATCCCAAGGCTGTCTTAGTGAGTAGTTTTTCCACAAAGAGAGTAGAAGACAAGAATCATTGCTGCATGGAAGTGCAGTTTGCATCTTTCTTGAATATGTTAATGTAGGGGGCAGGAATGTGTCAGAGATGGTCATGGTAGACAACTGAGAGCCCATCTAGCTTAGATGGAGAATTTAGTTTAACCTGCAAAGCCTGGCCAAGATGCTCAGCAGCCTGTGAAGCTCAGGTTTAGCTTGATACAGCAGAAGAAAAAGTTCTGGAAATATAAAGAATGTGCAATTGCCTGACTTTCTGCTGTTTTGTATTTTCTTTCCAATTATTTCCACAAAATGATGAGTGAATACTAAGACTTGTGTTTCCATAGGCAGCCTGGAAAGAACAGGAAGAAGAAGGGAGATAATGGGGAGTTCATTCAGGAGATGGCACATCAGTAAGCCTGAACTTTGTATGATGATGTAAGACCACAAATCTCCAGTTGAGGAGATGTTTAAATTTCCAGCAGTGCCAGCACAAGTCGGCTTCAACCCATACAGCCTCTTTGCTTGTGCAAAGCATGGTGACCCCCAGCTGTGTTCCATGGGCTGGTGCTGCTGTTTGAGAGCCCTGCAGAGGCAGTGTGCTTTGCTGTTCCACACCACGTCACACACCCTGTGCTGGCCTGAGCCTGTTAGAATAGAGAGGGACCTCAGCCCAGTTTTTGATGTTCTGCATGGGTGGGTACCCTGAATACTAA